TGTAAATGGGGGGTGTTTTAGTAAAACATAAACTATAGGGTAACTCAGTGTTTTAAAAACTGACTAGGAGGTCGAACCGTTTTTGCCTCCAGGTCGTAGGTCACCGGTTCGATCGGTCGGGTTAGACTGTGCCACATCAGCCATATATATATATATATATGTGTGTGTGTGTGTGTGTGTGTAAACATGTATTTTATCAATAAATAATGTATAATTATATTTTACATGTAATATATGAAATATTTTATATTTAATTTATGTTTTTAATTCAATTTTAAATATTTTTACTTGTAAAAAATATTAAAAATTGAAATTTGAGGCCAAAAAGGGGGTTTTGGAAAAATAACGGGACAAGGGGACGCATAGATCTCGAAAAGTTATCCAAAATAATAAAAAAATCACCTAAATCTGACATCAGAATGCAAAGTTATGACCTCCTAAAGTTTGCATAGTAGGGGTGAGCATGGGTCGATTCGGTTTGGTTACATGGCAGAACCTAGAACCTACCCAGTTCCAGGTTTTTGGAACCAGAATCTACCTTGTGAAGGTCAGTTCTAGCCTTGGCAGTTCTAACTTCTAAGGTTGATTCCAAGGTCTACCCATGGAACCTGTTCTTTCTTTACTCTCCCCCGTCAAGAAAGAAAAATGAAACATGTCCTTCAAAAACTTGATTTTCAATATTGATAATATATAGTTTAAAACTTATATTTTCTTTATTGATTAAAATGATTAATTTAATATGTAGGGATGGTAATTTTCCCCATTTCCTTGATCCCCGTGAGGACCCACCCCTAATGGAGTGAGGATGGGGATAGGGAAATTTTCATCCCTGTTGGCAGGGATGGGGCGGGGATGAGGAGAGCACTCCCCACCTCGTGGGATCCCGCTAATATATATGTATATATGTATACATACGTTTATATATTAATATTTTTAAAAATATGGTTTAATATGTTTGAATCTTTTTTAGTAGGGTAGTAAATTTTAATTATTTTATTTTTAACTTTTTAAATAAAATAAAAAACAAAAACAAAACGATAAACATTATAAAAAATCATGGGGAGTGGGGATCCTCATGGGGATGGGGATGGGAATAACTTTGTCCCTGTTGGCGGGGGGACAGGGACAGGGACGAGGATGGGGAGTGGCTCCTGGTCCCTGCCCCACCCTATTGCCATTCCTATTAATATGTAGATTATCCTAATATATTAATATATGGTTGAAATTTTGTAAATATTACCTTTTACATTGTTTATTATACACATACAAATATTAAAATGAAAACAAATGTTCAAATCACTTAAGTAACTTGATGGCCAAGTGAGACCATGGCTTTTGTAACCATGAGTGCTTGGCCTCAAATCCTCACATCCTTAAAAATATTTTGGGGTTTATTTCAAGGCAAGTTTGATATCAAGACCAGTTCCACCAAGACCAATCAAGGTCAGTTCATCGGATTGGTTCGGGTAGGGTAAACCCCTAGACCTTGGAACTGACTTGGGTGGGGGTCAGTTCCAAGAATTTGGATCCAAACCCTATCCTTTAACAAATCGGGTAGGGTTGGTTCAAGGCCGTTTCGAGGTCGATTCCAGATAGAACCTTCCTATTTGTTCACGGCTCAATCTCACCCCTAGTTAGTATGTAACTTGCAACTCGGTCAATGGTCTAACCATTTGTGTTAGACGAACGATTTTTGACCAAATCAATAATTTTTTAACCTTCTCTGAGTTTTACTCAAATTGGACCCAAAATCTTGACTAGGTGACGGTTTGATCTGTTTAACTGATCGGGTCAACGACTGGTTGAAAACATTAGGATAGCTTTTAATAAATATATGAAGTATGAGGGTGTATTAGTCAATAACCAAAAAATTAAAAATAAAATAATTACAATTTACTGTCCCATCAAAATCATATTGAATATATTTATATTCTTAAATGACGAGAGAGGTAAATAACAAAAAAGGACATAAGTAAAAGAAATACAAATAATTTAACGATGAAAATACAGATTGGCAAAACCGATGATTAAATCATATTATTGAGAATATGAACACAAATTCATTACTAATAACAAATCATTTATTAGACTTATTACAAGAGTAAAGCTTTACACGGACTTATGACGGGTGCAATGACTGTTGCTTCACATGTCTGTACGTGTACCTTCTCTTCTTTTCTTAATATTTTTAAATGGTTGCACGTAACCATAGTACACATGGCACAACCTGAAGCCTTCACCTCCAGTGTATACAGTGCTATGTCTTCAATTTATTTCCTCGCTCTTTCTCCAAACCTCTTTAATCCAGAAACTGATAAACCAGACAATCAACTTCAATTTTCAAATGGTACGTACCCCAGCCAAAGATAAGAAATAGTATTGAAGTACTCGTAGCAGCTAGCACATGTGAACTTCATGGATCCATTGAAAATATCTCCCACCCAATAACGAGTTCTCCTTTAATTTAATATCTTCCCTCTTATCCTCTCTTTGATTATGAGATCGATTCTTTCCATATGTCTCGCCTACTCATTTAATTGTTGGGTCGTTTCTTTCCATGATTTACCTACCCATTTGAATTTTGAAGTTTGAACTACTTGATTCTTTTATCGTTTCTCACTTCTCTTGCCTGATCGACCCTGTTTCTGCTTTTCATTTGGGCGATTCATTTATTTTTTTGACAGTTAGCATGCTATGGAACTGGGTCTTGACTGAGGGGAGGAGGGGTTTTCTTGGTTTGTGACTGTGATCAGAATTTCTGTGTTCTGGGGTGGTGTTGAGGCTTGAGAATGGTGTTCTTGGCCTGCCGGAACTTCGATCCCAGTCCGTCGAGGTTGGACTTGGTGGCTTCTCGTTGTCGTTGGAGTTCCAATCGGTGCGGAATGTCATCAGTTAACAGATTTTCCTTCAGGAACTATGGAACGGGAGTAGATACTGGTGCCTGCAAATTGGCCTGGATCAGGCCGGGAATTGCTGGTGCTGGGTGTAGAGTTTCTTCGTTTCAGACGCCCCAGTCAAGGCTGAGTGGTACTGTTTGTTCTCTTTAATCCAGACCAGTCACTTCAATTTCTCTGTGCGTTCAAACTTCAAACAGTTTTGTGTTACGTTGTTTTTACTTACTGATCTTATTACGTATTCCTAGTGGTTGCTCAAGATTCTGCATCAACATTAGATGTCAGTCCAAAGCCTAGAAGCCCTGTTTCGGTATCAAATCTTTTGCAAGTGGTTTCTGACGACCTCCGAACTCTGAACCAAAACCTCAAGTCGGTGAGTAATCACCTCTCTGCCCTGAAATTTCTTTAAGTATTTTTGATACTTAGCTACAAATGAATGCTCTATCTGTTTGAACCCGTCCAAATCAAAATCAATTTGTATGGATTGGATGGACCCATAAGACATTGAATTGGACCAGTCTAGAATTAATGGTCCAAATATATTTGTTAGATTGGATTAGACCATTTGTAATGGGTTAATTTATATTGGATTGGGTAGGAAGGATTAAGCAATATCCGGTGCATTAGTAGAAGATAATAAGAATATAAATGAATCAGGTTTGGGCTGGAACCAATCTAAATTAAAACCAATTTGAACAGATTGAATGCTCCAGACATTGAATTGGACCAGTTCAAAATGATCTAAAATATTTATTGGATTGAATTAGACCTGGTCCATCTGTGATGGACTCATATTGAACTTAATTCGGTCCAATTGACCCCTCTCTCTCTCTCTCTCTTAAGGAGCACTTGTTATGAATTAATTCTAGTTATAGCTTTTAGAATAAATTTCACTTGATGTAGTGGAAACACAGAAGAATCATAGTATAGAAGTCAACTTGAACAATTAGAATAAAGCAGAACACTCTGGACCCATTAGACTTCTGCATTTTAAAGTGTTTCTGGAACAAGGAATCTTAAAACCTATTAGAAAGCGTACAATTTTGCTAAAGAGAAAGATAGTAGAAGGAACAGATAGTCTAACGAACATCATGAAGACAGCAAAGGAATTAAGTTTGTTGTGTAAATGAATATATTCTTCTTTCTATTTGCTTTTCTGTTTCATTAAGATGAAGTGATCATTAAAAAGATATGAGTTATGAATTCTACTTCCTTGTATTGATTGAATAGACAACCTTTGTCATTCGTTAAGCACAACAACCAAATCAACCACTTCAAGCCTAAAAGCCCGACAAAAAACCAACACATCATTTGCAAAAGGAAGTGATGATTTTTAAGGAGAATTTCTTCTTCAATTTGTTCTCAAAGATGAATCCTCTATGGCTAAGATAAACAGGTAAGGAGAGAGAATCACCTTGACAGAGACCCACGTCCCCTTGAGGAATCAAAAAAAAAAAAGCACCCAAAGCTGCCACTAATAAACACAGAAACATTAACCATAGAGATATATTCCAAAACAATCTCACACCACTCCTCACAAAAGCCTAAGGATTTGAGAACCCAAAGCAAATGGTCCCATTCAAGGCTGTTATAAGCTTAGATTACTTTAATGGTCATGAACCCATATTTATGCAAAATAGAGATTTAAGCCTATTAGTCATTAACTTAATTATAGTTTTACACACAAGACATTGCAAAGACCAATAAATCTATAACCATTATTGGCCTAGGAAAGTTTATCTGTTTTGGGTATGAAGGTAAGGCTGTGTTTGGTTGCTGTGCAAATTTATTTACACTGATGCAAAACCATGGTAGTATAAATGATCTTGGTGCAAATTATGATTTACTTTTGTTTCAAAATTTATCATCTTTTGTTTGATTGATTGTAGTACAAATGAAGTATAAAATAAGACCTGAAGCACACCAAAGTAAACTCCAAAACAAAATTAGACCAGAATTTGCCATTTTTAATTTTTTTCATTTGCATTTCCATACTTTTGTATTAGTACAAATAAAATTGCACTGCAACTAAACACATTCTAAGGAAAGTATGATTAATTCTTCTAGGGATTCTTTTATTTTAAAAGTCTCACAAATAAATTCATAGATATCCTCACTCATCTCCTTCCAAAAGTTTTGTATACTAAGGTAAGGATACCATGATTTTCTTCTATAGTAGGTATTGACAACATCAATATAATTGTCTATATCGGTAATAGCAAGCTCAAACAGCTCAGGAATAAGATTAAAGGGTGGTTCAGTCATTTTTTAGATTTTTTTTTTGTAATAATCTCAATATTTTCATGGTTATGAATCCATTTTCCATCCTACTTTTCAATTCAATTAATTTTAGGGTAAATTTTTTAAACTACCCTTATGGTTTGGCTAATTGACTAAGTGCACTTACTGTTTAAAAATTGACTAACACTACCCTTATTGTTTCTGACAATTGACTAATTTTTCCAAATATCCGTTAACAGAAAGGCAAAAAAGACTATTTCATCCTTTCTTCAAATTTTCAAAATAAAACAGAGAAAAGGGGAAAGAACACTGAACTCAGCACTTGCGTCCCTGTCATTTTTGCACCTAAAAACCCCTTTCATAACATCGGATTTTGCCTGGCGGAGAATCTACAGTTTTCCGCCGCTGTGACGTTAGCTCGAGTTTGGGAGTTTGACGATGGTGAACAACGATCCAAAATGCAAAAATAAATGAGGGAAGGGGTGGGAAAAAAGATAGGGAAGAAAGAGACAAAGAGGCGGCGAACCAGCAGCACCCCTCTTCGAACACTAAAGAGTGAAGATGCCGCTGCACACAACGGCGAACAGCGGCACTGGATCCACATTTTTCTAGAACCAGCTGGGTTAGCAATATTAGAGATATAGGCCACGATGCGGAGGATGTTATTGATGAATTTATCACCCGTGAAGAGAGACGGAGGCTTAAAACCCTCTGTCACTAGATCCGCATTTTTTCTAGCTTATCACAAAGTTGGGAAAAAGATGGAGTACATCAATAAAAGGTTTACGAGGATTGCAGAGAAAAGATCAACATTCAATAATCTTGAACCCACAAATAGGGATGATCATTCGGTTTCTCGTCCTGCAGCGGAGGGGAGGGAAGCTCCGAGAGATAGATAAGTCGATGTGGTGGGCTTTCAACAGGATGCTAAAACGATAGCTAGTTGGTTGATTCAACCTAAAGATATGGAGGATGGGCAATTGGGATTCTTTAAAAGGAGCTTTAGTCTTGGAAGATGATAAGAGCAACAGACTGTTGCTAACTAGTCATAGCAGAGATGTGGCCGAGCATGTGGGAAGATGAATCGAACTATCAACCGAAATCCATGAACTTAGCCTTCTGGATGAAAGCGAAAGCCTTGAGCTCTTCGGGAAGAGGGTTGGATGTAAAGAACTTGTTCCAAATGAATTGCATGATCTGGGAGAGGAAATGGTGAAGAAGTGTGGTAGATTACCATTGGCCATTGTAGTACTGGCAGGTCTCTTGTCCACCAAATTGAATTTACGTGGCGGTACAGTAGCCAGTCTTAATGCGTAGAAAAGAATTTCTGATAGTGTAATGGGTAACCTGCAAGAAGGTTGTTAAAAGATTTTGGCTTTAAGTTATCATCACTTGTCTCATTCCTTAAAGTCCTTCTCTTTGTACAAAGCCCGCTCCTATCCATAGCCGAATGAGTCTTTCACATTCTATCTCAAAGTCTTCTGGAAAGGAGAAGGTTCCATTGTTAGATGGATGGATCATCACGGACGACCACTGTTATCGCTGGTTTTGCCTTTGGTCTCTTGGTCTGTCTCTCTCTCTCTAAATCAGATTGAAAAAGGAAATGTTAAAACTGCAAGCCTGTGGGCTTTAATGGTCTTGAATGAATCTTTCTGTGTTATATTAGTTGGGGATGGCGAGCGCATTAGAGACGTTGTGTGGGCAGGCTTTCAGAGCAAAGAGGTACCACATGTTGGGGATCTATATGCAACTCTCATGGATAGTTCTGGTCCTCTGTGCGGTTCTGCTCCTCCTGCCCATGTACATATTCGCCACGCCTATTCTAAAGTTATTGGGGCAACCCACATATGTGGCAGAGCAAGCGGGGTTGGTGTCTATGTGTTCAATCCTACTTCACTTCAGCTTTGCTTTTCAGTTTCCATTGCAGAGGTTCTTGTCGAGCCAATTTAAGACAGTCGTGATTGCCTGGGTGTCGTTGGCAGCTCTGGTGGTTCACGTCTTCGTGATCTGGTTATTTGTTTACGGGCTTAAGTTTGGTGTGGTGGGAATTAGTATGCAAGCATACAATGAGAGAAAGATAGAAATAGAGGAAGAGAGAAGGGGAGAAAGACGAGAGGCAGAGTGGGAGGTTTGAGAATGGAGAGAGAGACAGAGGCAGAGGGGGAGGTCTTAGAAGAGAGAGAGTGGGGGCTCAGGGTACGAGGGTAATATTGGGTTTTAAAAAAATTGTATAGGTCACGTGGGGTCACATAAGCATAGATTGTGACGGAGCATTAACGTACAATAAGGGTAGTGTTAGTCAACTTTCAAACAGTAAGAGTACATTTAGTCAATTAGCTAAACCATAAGGGTAGTTTAAGAAATTTACCCTTAATTCTATCCCTCTTCCCAAGGATAATGATGAAATTAGGAAATACATACCTAGTATTCATATCCCTTTAGATAGTTATAACTACCTAAACTTTTGCTTCCAAAATTATTAAACTCTGTGGTTATAATCAATGTTTTAAAAATCGACCTTAAGGCCGAACCCTTTTTGCCTCCGACCTCGAGGTCGAACCCTTTTTGCCTCTAGGTCACAGGTCACTGGTTTGATTGCCCAGGTCAAACGGGTTAGATTGTGTCATATCATCATCTATGTATTTAACATATATATATATATGGTATATATTTATATATTTATCCTTTATATACATATATGTGTATAAATATATATTTTACCAAAAAATATATAATTATGTTTTAGATATGTTATATATATATATATATATATAATTTTATATTTAACTTATGCTTTTTAATTCAGTTTTTAATTTTTTTTATTTATAAAAATATTAAAAATTGTGATTTGAGGCAAAAAAAGGGGCTTTTCACAAAAATAGTAAGGCAAGGAGCATGTGGCACCTTGGGACACATAGATCTTGAAAAGTTACCCAAAATAAAAAAAAAAGGATCACCCCAATCGAATGTCGGTATACAAAGTTATGGCCCCTAAAAGTTTGCATGCATTGAGTATGCAACCCACAACCCATTGGACGGGTGGACGGTTGAACCGGTCGGGTCAAATGGTTTTTGACCAAGTCAACGGTTTTTGATTGACTGATGGGTTTTGATGAGGGCAGATTTGGCCCT